TCCATCCATCCATCCCTCCATCCCTCCATCCCTCCATCCATCCATCCCTCCATCCCTCCATCCCTCCATCCATCCCTCCATCCATCCAGTATGGAAAAACTGAAGGAGGAGGAGAAGGAGGAGAAGGAGGAAGAGGAGGAGGAGGAGGAAGAGGAGGGGGAGGGCCGAGGCAGCGGCTGGGGGAGCCCCGGGAAGCTCCAATTCCCATAATTGCCGGCGGGGTGGGTGGGCTGCGGCGGCCGGCCGGGGAGCGGGGGCGGGGAGAGGGGCCGAGGGAAAAGAAAAGTCTTTCAACCTGGCCTTTCCACACCCCCAGCCCCAAATTCACAGCTCCTGTCAGATGCGATCTCCGTTAGCGCCCGCGCTCACGCACTGCTGCCCACCGCGGCGGCCGGGGGGGCCACGGCCCCGCGCACAAAGGGCCCGGACGGCCCCGCCCGCCGCTAATTGCTCCCGCTCGCCCGCCCTGCCCTCGCCAGCCCCCCCGGCCCTCCCAGCCCCGGCCCCTCCGCCCCGGCCCCCCCGGGCCCCGCCCGCCTTAGGGCTCGGCTCCAAAGTGCGCCCGCGGCTCCTTCCCAGCGCCCGAGGGGGGCACGGACCGCTGAGATCAGGGAATCATGGGATGGTTTGGTCGAAGGGACCTTAAAGCCCATCCAGTGCCAACCCCAGGGACACCTTCCACCACCCCAGGTTGCTCCAGCCTGGCCTGGGACACTTCCAGGGATCCAGGGGCAGCCGCAGCTTCTCTGGGCACCCTGTGCCAGGGCCTCCCCACCCTCCCAGGGGAGAATTCCTTCTCAGTGTCCCACCTAACCCTGCCTCTGGCAGTGGGAAGCCATTCCCCGTGTCCTGTCCCCAGGGCAGGGTCACCTCGGCCTCTGGAGCGGGAGCACAGCGAGGGATGCTCGGCCCTATCCCAAATTACAGAGCGGGACCCAGCAGGGGCAGAGATGGGAAATGGGGCAGAGAAAGGGCCCCCAAACGCCCCAAAGCCTCTGTCCCAGGGCAAGGACAGGGACGAAGAGGGGGCTCAGCAGGCCTGTAGATTATCCCGCGGATTTCATCAGAAGGATGTTGGACGGGGCTTGGATCCACCCGGTCGGTGGGAGGGGTCCCTGCCATGGCGGGGGGGGGCACCGGGGGGGCTTTAAAGTCTCTCCCAACGCAAACCAGCCTGGGATTTTAGGATTCCGTAAATGCTGAGTTTTTAACCAAAATGCTGATGTCCGAAGTGACCCGGCCCCGTTCCCAGGACGGGACACGAATCCACCATCCCCGACGGCAACTCCGCGCTCAAAATCCCGCTCGGCCCGACCCCACCCCCTCCTCCCGAGCCGCCGTCCTGCCCCGGGGCCATCCTGGGACTTTTCCGACAGTCCCTAAGTGACCGTTTCCCCCCTCCACAACCTGCCCATTGTGCCGTGTGTCACTTTGTGCCGCGCTGTCAAACCCACCGGCCTGTCCCAGCCCGGCAGAGCCCGTGAAAAGCGCGGCGGGGGGTCACACT